CGTGTGCATGCCTGCTCGCGGTCATTCGCTTGCGTGCTTCAAGTTTGAGCGTAAGTAAAATTGGGAGGGAGAGACCCAAGGGACGTGTGCATGCCTGCTCGCGGTCATTCGCTTGCGTGCTTCAAGTTTGAGCGTAAGTAAAATCGGGAGGGAGAGACCCAAGGGACGTGTGCGTGCCTGTCGCGGTCATTCGCTTGCGAGTTTCAAGTTTGAGCGTAAAATCGGGAGGGAGAGATTTTCGATCTTTTTCCATATATAAAGCGCACCGGGTTATAAGCCGCACTGCTGGTTTTTTATCAAATTTTAGGATTTTCAGTGCGGCTTATAGTCGTGAAAATACGGTACTCTCTTACCAATTACACCTATCTGTTTTTACTACATTCACATTTTTCTTTGAAATTATTGTATTTTATTGAATTGTTGTTGGTTGTACTGACGTATTTTTATATCAATAAATATAAAAGGTGGTAAAGAAATCCCACCGAAAAGGCTCTGCCCTGATAGCAAACTGTACTACTATCATTGGTTGTCTATTTCTGTACCAGTGGGGGCAGGGAGTACTACAGTAGGATAATTGTACAAAAGAACTGTTAAGCATGTCCTTAATTTGCTGCTGATATCAACGGAATTTCAACATGTTTACTATTATCCATAACGAGGGACACAGCCTTGAAAATATCATCTTCCTTTTCAGTAGTATTAATATTTTCGAATTACTGGTATTCAAGAAAGCATCACTAACAATTTGTTATTACCATTATTATTGATCATTTATATTTTTATTGCATATTAAATTGTGGTTTGTCATCTAAAGTCTGTACAAATCGGGGCAGTCTTTAAATACTTACATAAACATATAAATAATACAAATTTAGTGAGGCCCCAACTATCAGTTGAATAGAGTAAGACTTACAAATATCAGACTTACTTCTCAGAAATGCTTGTGTTAGATTAATTGTTAGTGACTTTTAATAGTGAAATGAAGTTAACAGTTTAGAGGTAATAGAAATTACTGAAAATACTTTACCATCAGTTATCATGTGGAAGTTCTAAAATCTTACAGATGTAAACATTTGGGCCATGAATGCTTCTGGTTCTATTATGAAAGCTTTGGTAAGCAGAAAAGTCTTTGTAATTCTTTGTAAGTCAAAAAAGTAGGCAAGAAAGATACAACTGCTTTAATGAATCAGAGAATCCTGCATTTATACTTTAACACATTCCAGAGTATCTGTTCCCAATTGTATTTGATAAACATATCATTGAATATTAATATTTTATTCTAGTGATCTGATACTACTGATGTGCCTACTCCATTTTGACATAGATTATCATGTTGCTGTAATATTTGTGTCTTTATTAGTCTGAAAAAAATACCTGAAAACTTCTAATAAAAATCTGAAGCTATCATTGGTGGCTTCAGATGTTAAAAATTATCAAATAAGTCAGGATTGGTCAACTTAGCACTCTCCAGATACATTGGGACTACATTCTAGAATTTCCAGCTACCCAGTACTTATGTAACATATCTCTGTAACATACCACAAAGACCTATCAACAGTACATAATATTTACTTGCATCAACAATAATCCATTCAATATTTGTCTATATTTCTTTGAACTATGGTTGTTAGTTTTGCAGCTGTTAATGCCATTATCATAAGACAATGTTTAAAAATTTTCATATATCTGAAAATATTAGTCCCAGTCTGACCCTATGGAACTATTTTAGCTACAGAGACACCAAACATTTATGCCACTGTTGGTTAAAAATAAAAACAGTAATATTCAACACTGCTATTCCTGTTTAGTGCAGCATCAGTGCACCCAAGAGACTAGATGAGTTTGTTTTCTAATAATCACTAGGTAAGATGTGATATTTGAAATGGCACTGAACTACAACTCCCACTATCACTATTAACCATGTTTCCTTGGGATGCTGAGAGATGTAGTTCACCAATATCAGAAGTGCCACACATTGCTGTATGTTGCCTAGCCCTGATTCACAGCAACTTAAATTTGTTCTTCATAATAAGCTGTCTGGCTTTATCGCTCCCAACATTTCCATGTTCTCCCACGTAAGTATCTCCGTTTCTACTTCCACAGTGATCAAGGTACTTAACACAATAAAAGTTTGTGTACTTGCTTTCCTTACTTGAGCCCACCAGTGGGGACAGTATGGCATTTCTTGTGCTCCAGTAATTGCTCAGGAGTCTTCATGAACTTGTGGCACACATCACATTCAAACATCCGTGTAATCAGGTGGATTTGCAAATGGCGTTCAAACATGGTTTTTGTTTTGCAGACAAAGTTACAGAAAACACATTCAAAACCTGCAGAAGGAAATTACAGACACTATTACCTAAGTCACGCACGACAGCCTTGAGAAAGTGGAGGGAGTCACTTTGCATTCCTTCGCCAACTTTTTACCTTTCTCTGATTTTTCTTCCGCATTTAATAGAGTCTGACTACCAGGCACTACGGAAATAACTAGCAGGTTATTGGATCCCTTGGGTTTGGGACTTATATCTGCATCTTCTTTACTATTGGCAGAATCACTAAGTGCTGACAAGGAAGAAGAAGAAGGACTGGTTGAATCACTGGGTGTTTTCCTTTCTTCACCTACAAAAAAAAATCAAAGGGATCAATGCTAAACATTAACCTCCTTATTGAAACCAGCATGCAAGCAATTCGGCTCAGAGATCCATACATAGAAGTATTTTTCTTTGTTTATCCCTACCTACACTGTGCAAATCTAAGTTGATTGGGTTAAATGCAACTTCCTCTTTAATGAATTAAGCTAAACAAATTTAAGTTTTCTTGGGCACAAATGTATTTCCTTGTAACTCAGATTAAGCACTTCAAGCTATCACTTCTGTCTCTCTTAGTAAATTGAATGGCTCAATTTATCTTCACAATCCTTCCCACACCCTCTGCAAAAGGTCAGTTGATTTAAATACCAAACCAAACAGATTATGGATGAGTGGTGGACATTGGTGGATGCTGGTTTATTTTTGTCCTCCTACTGAGCAGCTGGAAAGTTGAAGAGTAGGTGCTCTGCAAAAGACATTTGCATTTTAAGGTGATAAAAAAATTAATCAGGTGACCAAGTCCTGATTAACAGTATGTTATATTATATGGCTAGTGTTGGGGGTTAGGTTAAATTTGCCAGCAGTTTTGCATCAACAAGCTTTGACAAAACTTTGTTTTACAGTTAATATAAGGGAATGAAGCTGAAGCTGATTTGGGAGAGAAGGTTGCCTAGCTACTCTGAGAATGCAGCCAGAGTCCCCAGGCTGACCTTATCATCTATCTAAAACTAAGCTTTGAACTATTTATTGCATGGAGAACACTGATATAATTTTTGTGCTTTATTTTAGGAATACGTCATTTCTTGTACCATAGGTACCTATTAGATTTTAATGATTTCTTATAATTTCACTTGTTGTCAATGTTGTTTTGGAACTGTCAATATAAAAGCCAGTCTTACTAAGGTAGTTAAATTTGCAACAGGTAAAATCAGAAGCAGTGATATAAAACAGTTAAGAATGCCCTTAAGATATTTGCCAAGTATGCTTTGGAGTTGCCTGGAGTCACTTCAGCACAGTCATTATGTGGGCTGATTGAGCGCAGGGCTAAAGGAAATTATTGGCAGGAAGTTTTGATCTTTTTAAATATGATTTTCTTTTTGAAATGAAGTAGAACTTTTTTGGGGGTATGTGTGTGTTAGTGTCCAATGTATATTTCATTCTAGATTTAAAACTCAACTGGATATCTCTTTTGCCTGGCTGATCTTACTTTCTAGGCAAAACAAGAGTGAACTAATAATCTTGTGATGTATCTTCTGAGGCAAAGATGATCACCAGCTAGCTTGAACTTGTTTCTGAAGAGCCAGAGAGCAAAAACGATGATGGGGTTGGAAGGACTTTTATCTCAGTGTTTCTATCACCTTTACAGTTATTCATATGTGAAATGAGGCTTCTAGCTTTTTTTTTTTTAGTCAAAATGCTGCCTTTTCTTCTTCATTCTGGAATTACCAAGTATACAGTAATCCCTTCCATGTACCTTTCTATAGAAGGTTGTGTCCAGATTGTTTAAGATGAATCTCTGTATGGCACTTTGATAGACAATTTTAAATTTGGGAACAGTAATTGGATGGATTAGTATTTGTTAATTGACTGAACAGTTCGATGTATCCCACTTATAGTAGTAGCATTTTTACATCAATGAGTTTTAAAATAGAGTTAGCTATATATGATGTTTATGTATCACTTGCACCAATGTACAGTTATTTTAAAGAAGCCTTGGAGTGACATGCCAGAGACTGCCCTCCCAAAAGCAATGGAGGTCAGAACACAGAAGTTGGCAGGGTCCTGGCACAACTAAATCTAATTAATATACAGCTGATTGTAATTACAGCTGAACTACTTAAATATATTTAAGTTGATTAAATCTGCTTAATACTTTTCCAATTCTGTCATATTAAGCATTATCATTTTATGATAACCTTTTGAAGGATTTTTGAGAGGGGCACATTGACAATATAGGGACTGCTACATTCACCTATTTCCTTTATCTGCTTGCTTCTCAATCCAGAAAAAAGTACTAGTTTGTTCCCTTCTATTCTGCCTTATGCATATGTGGAATTCCAAGTAGGGTTAAAATACTTCATTTTTCTTTTATCAATGACAATCTTATATGACTAACTTTTCCAGGCACAGCCCAAAGGAATTGGAGTGTTAATACAATGTTGGGATTCTAATTATTTTAATGTTTCAAATAATTACAATTGGACAAATTATATTACATTATTCCTTAGGCAAAATGAAAATCAATGGGAAATTAAGCTGTGGAACCTATTAGCATCGTAACCAAAGTGGTTTGTGCCTGGCAAAAATCCTTTTTCACCAACACTGAAAATGCCTAAAGACCTTTATTAAATTATAGGGTTTGCAATACATCTAGTAGATGGGTTTTCTATTTCCAATCTGAATTAGAACTCCAAAGTATTTGGAAATAAAAGTAAAGGGAAGGATACTGTCCTTAAAAAGGAGTTCCATTTTGAACAAGAAAGAGTCTTTACTCGTCAAAAAGAAATAGGAAAGGGGACATTGGGAAGTAATGGTTTTCCTTAACAATTTATCATCCAATGCACTTTTTTGCAAATAAAGAGAAGAAGAAAAGCAAGTGTTGCTCTAGCACAGTGTTTCTCAACCTTGGCAACTTGAAGATGTCCGGACTTCAACTCCCAGAATTCCCCAGCCAGCATTCGCTGGCTGGGGAATTCTGGGAGTTGAAGTCCGGACATCTTCAAGTTGCCAAGGTTGAGAAACACTGCTCTAGCAAACAGCCTTATTTTGGTTTGTATTTTAATAAAAAATTGTGTAGTTCACAGTTCAAAATTTAGAGACAAAAGCAAATGGAATTAGAAACCAATATTTGCATTTTTCCAAATCTAATTATGCAGTTCTTAGCTCTAAAACCTCCTACAAAATGTGTATTAGGACAGAAGCACAAGTATGTAGAACAAAATCGCTTGCCAAAATACATATACTATATATTAGGAAAACTGTAAACTTGTGTACATTAGGAGAAATATACACAAATATGCAAATTGATTTTTTGCAGCATTTAAACAAATAAAACATAAATGTAGATTGAAGCAGGAAAGGATCAAACAAAGCTACAGGCAGAATAATGAGAAAATGATAGGAAACTAATACAACAGATCATCCAGAAGGTGACATGACATGAAGGTATGTCATAAGCAGTTCATTATGTTATTTTTAACATTTTTATTTATGATGGGGTACAATCAAGGTGCTTATGAAATCATACCCACACAAGTGTGCAAGATTATTAATTGTGCCTGAAAAGAATTTATCTGCATCTATATTCCATGTTACAAAACATTTGCAAATGCAGTCAGAAATGTGAAGAGTTGCTCAGTGAATTCTTGCATTCTCATACCTAATGACAGCAATTAGCACTCAAAAACTCTTCACACAGTGCTGAACAGAATCCAAATAATGTACAATGTCATTTTTGCGTAAGACAACATGGGTCAGAATATAAAATCCATTTGGCCATAATCACCCATTTTAGATTGCGGCTATCAGAATTTTGCAATGACTGGACCAAACTGGGATGGCATCAATAAACCTTGAAGTAAAGTAGTAGGACAGAAGCAGCAGCAGGAGATGACAAACCTGGACACAGAGAGAGGTTATCACCTGCATGCTTGGTGGCAACATGAGCCTTCATCTCCGTCTCTTCCATGGTAACAAAATCACAGGCTGTGCAGCAAATAGAAAACATCCATTGTTCTTTATCCACATGAAGAGACATATGACTGACAAACTGGACATTCAGCTCTGTTTCAAATCCACACACATGACAACTGGAGGCAGGAGAAAGTTAGAAATATTAAAAGAGTATGCTTTTATGGATCTTCTGTGATACAGATGAGTATTCCTTTAAAAAAAAAAAATTCATCCTGACCAGTTCCTGGTTTTACAACCTGTTCAGCTAAAATTGCACTGGGATATTCTTTTGTCTGTTGAACTGCTTCTGAACTGACAACCTTGCCAAGCTGATTAAGGGCAGGCACAAGGCAACAATCCCGAACATGCTATAGTGATGCTAAATAATCATAAAGTTAATTAACAACTACAGGTTCCAGATGCTGCACATCACCTAGCTATTTCCTTTGGGCAATAAGATGTGCTGCAGCCTTGCCAAGATGTTCAGTCAGCTACTATGTGGACAAAGGGGGAGCTCATTCTGCTCTTTACAGCAATTCCCAAGCTTTGGAAATATCCAATGTCAGCTTGAGATCTAACACAGAAAAAGTCTGGAATTCTTAATACAAGGAAGCCAAAATAGGCGCAGGAACTTTTTCTGCCTGATTAGGCAAAAGCTTAATACACAAATAGAAATAGTGGTGAGGGACATTTTGCAATCAAGTTCTTCTCTTATAGCACCAATTTGGCATTTAAAACCTCACATTTCCACAATTTAGTATTCTAGCTGCAAAGGATCACAATCCTCAGCAGCCCCATTTTCACAGTGGATAGAGAGAACAAGAATTGTGGTCCAACATTTGGGTGAAAGTTGAAGATGTCTGGTCTAAATAGTCTTGGACCAGGAAATTTTAGAGTCATCTCATGAAAATTGTCTCTGTTCTTGGGATAAGGAAAAATAAATTTATTTCCTGCCTTTTCTCTAGAAACATGATATAATATTTTAAAGGCAAAGTCATCCAATAAATTTCTATGATTGAGGGTGGATAGATCTCGATCTGTGCGTTAAGCAGTGCACCAGACTCTTTTTGTTTAGATGACCAAATTATAAAATCTTTCCAGAACTCTCTCTATATACTTTAACTTTAGGCTAGGAGCACTTGTAATCTCTTTTAATTCTGTTTACTACTGGATTTTAATTGTTTCATTATTTTTTTAAGTCTTAATTGTATGTTTTAATTTAACTGGTCTGTGGTGCCTTGATTGAGTCTTGCTTCAAAAGATAACATGCATATACTTATGCTAACATTGTTTCTACACCTGACACAATTTACACTTGTTTTCTGCAATTTGTCTGAACATTAACAGACTAGATACTCAATTGCCAATTCATTCAACTAATCCAAAAATGGCTACTTGGAATTGCAATAGTGATTAAATTTTTTGGCTACAGCAGCTTGCTATTTAGATCCATTAATTTAATCATGCTATTACAATGCTGGGCAGTTTGTGATTTGGGGCTTTCCAGTAAGGTACTACCCATGATATAAATTCCAGGTTACCCAGTTTGCATCCCAGGCAGACTTTCAGGCAAGACCTTGGTGCAGCAGACAAATGAGACAGTGCACTTATTCAGGACCAAGAGCTGTAGCATATTTTAGATAACTGGAAAAGTATAGCTCATATCCTAGTTTAATCCAGATATCAAAGGCTTTTCAGAAGATCAAAAGTCAGGATTTTACCCAGTAGACACAATTATGATGTTCAAAAAGTCACTAATATCAAAAGTGGCTTCAGTTCCAGCTGCTAGACCAATTCTTAAGTTAACAAATTTCAATTGGTTATTGCAGAATGTTCTAAGAAACATGAAGTTTGTCCTAGCATACATATATGGACATAAAACGTAGCTTCAGATGTACAGTGGGGTAAAAAAGTATTTAGTTAGCCACCAATTGTGCAAGTTCTCCCACTTAAAAAGATGAGAGAGGCCTGTAATTGACATCATAGGTAGACCTCAACTATGAGAGACAAAATGAGAAAATAAATCCAGACAATCACATTGTCTGATTTGGAAAGAATTTTTTTGCAAATTATCGTGGAAAATAAGTATTTGGTCACCTACAAACAAGCAAGATTTCTGGCTCTCACACACCTGTAACTTCTTCTTTAAGAGTCTCCTCTGTCCTCCACTCATTACCTGTATTAATGGCACCTATTTGAACTTGTTGGTAGTATAAAGACACCTGTCTACAATCTCAAACAGTCTCACTCCAAACTCCACTATGGTGAAGACCAAAGAGCTGTCGAAGGACAACAGAAACAAAATTGTAGACCTGCACCAGGCTGGGAAGACTGAATCTGCAAAAGGCAAGCAGCTTGGTGTGAAGAAATCAACTGTGGGAGCAATAATTAGAAAATGGAAGACATACAAGACCACTGATAATCTCCTTCGATCTGGGGCTCCACATAAGATCTCACCCCATGGGGTCAAAATGATCACAAGAACGGTGAGCAAAAATCCCAGAACCACACAGGGGGACCTAGTGAATGACCTGCAGAGAGCTCGGACTAACGTAACAAAGGCTATCATCAGTAACACACTACGCCGCCAGGGACTCAGATCCTGTAGTGCCAGGCGTGTTCCCCTGCTTAAGCCAGTACATGTCCAGGCCCGTCTGAAATTTGCTAGCAAGCATTTGGATGATCCAGAAGAGGATTGGAAGAATGTCATATGGTCAGATGAAACCAAAGTAGAACTGTTTGGTAGAAACACAACTCGTTGTGTTTGGAGGAGAGAGAATGCTGAGTTGCATCCAAAGAACACCATACCTACTGTGAAGCACAGAGGTTGCAACATCATGCTTTGGGGCTGTTTCTCTGCAAAGGGACCAGGACTACTGATCTGTGTACAGGAAAGAATGAATGGGGCCATGTATCATGAGATTCTGAGTGCAAACCTCTTTCCATCAGCAAGGGCATTGAAGATGAAACTTGGCTGGGCCTTTCAGCATGACAATGATCCTAAACACACTGCCCGGGCAACGAAGGAGTGGCTTCGTAAGAAGCATTTCAAGGTCCTGGAGAGACCTAACCAGTCTCCAGATCTCAACCCCATAGAAAACCTTTGGAGGGAGTTGAAAGTCCGTGTTGCCCAGCGACAGCCCCAAAACATCACTGCTCTGAAGGAAATCTGCATGGAGGAATGGGCCAACATACCAGCAACAGTGTGTGCCAACCTTGTGAAGACTTACAGATGTTTGACCTCTGTCATTGCCAACAAAGGACATATAACAAAGTATTGAGATGCACTTTATATATTCACCAAATACTTATTTTCCACCATAATTTGCAAAAAAAGTCTTTCCAAATCAGACAATGTGATTGTCTGGATTTTTTTCTCATTTTGTCTCTCATAGTTGAGGTCTACCTATGATGTCAATTACAGGCCTCTCTCATCTTTTTAAGTGGGAGAACTTGCACAATTGGTGGCTGACTAAATACTTTTTTGCCCCACTGTAGGTTGGAAAGCATGATTTGGCAGAGCAATATCTGCAATAAAAGTGTAAAGAAGGGAATGATATTGTTTCAATTTACTTCCATTTGTACAAAATGTGATGTTCTCCTGTAAAATTGTAATACTTTGATTGGAACCTTTTGCAAGCCATAACAAACTCATCATTATCCTTAAATGTAAATAGTATGGTGGTTGCTCTTTTTATAAGCTGAGAAGCCTAAATGGAAACTCAGCCCTGAGCTTGTTCTTCACCAGGATCCTCACCTGTAGTAATAAGGATGCTTCTTTCCATCGTTGCCTTCAGATGTAACAGCGCTGACAATGTCCTCAGTGTCTGTACTCACCAACTTCACAGAATGCACAGTCAGGTGCTGGTTCAGATTAGCACGGCACTTAGCAGCATATGGGCACAAATGGCATTTATATTTTCTCTCTTCTGGAAAGAAATATTAAAAAAAAAACTTTAAGTAGAGTTTCTTGTACGCATCTCTTATCACAAGTATCAGCCTGGGGCTTTCATCATTATGGAGAACCAGGTAAGCCAAAAGGAGGGATATCTGCTTAAATTTTCTTTAAAAAAGTTTATATTATATAAAGTCTAAATTTCTAAGGGGAAAAAAACCGTTGGGAACTTCCACAAAAAGGTTTTTGCACATGTGGAATGTTGTATCTGCCCCTTGGCAGCTGAAGTGGCTCAGCTGCAGGATATTTGAGTAAAAAGTTGATACTTTAAAAATAATAATAATTTTGTTTTGCTGCTGTCTTGTGGCTATCTAGATTTTTTGAAGCCCAGATATTGTGAGAATTGTGAAGCTTTCAATTAATAGAAGAGACAAGTTTAAACTGAAATTCCCCGGGCTTCCAAAGGATTTGCTACTTTGATTTTATTTAAAAAAAATAAATAAACAGTAAACTAAAACATCATTTCTTTCTGCAATTTAAAAGAGTGCAGACATGCTAGAACACCAAAGCAATTTTAAGTGCAAAGCAATGATTTAGAACAGTTTCCCCCAATGTGGAAAATTTCCTGGACCCCCAACTACAATTCCTAGCCAGAGTGACCCAATCACATTGAACCAAACTGGGAAAGTCTACTGTAGAAGAAATTGTTTGGAATACTTCAAAGAAGCATAGCTGTACAAAACAAAATGATCATAAACTGTATTCATATATTTCCATTTGATATTTTAACACTTTCTGCAAGAAAAAAATATAATAGTTTAATTGGATCCCATTAGTACATTTCTTCAATTGTTTTTCACCTGCAAATATAATGTTCATTAGTTATTTGGAATATTTTTTAATAATCACATTTCTGCATGATTACAGAAGGGTACATGAGTTTTGAATGTACAGCTACAATAGAATAACGCAATGGGGCCAGATTTTCTAATAGAAACAGAAGATTACAGATTCCATTCATCTGTGGAAGGAAATAAGCAAAGACGTTTCAGTGCAGAACTGAAGACATAAAGATATTTTGATTTTATTATTATTTACTTATTTATTAAACTTATGATTATGATTAGTGAAAATCTCTTGATGGTTTACAACAGGGGTCCTCAACCTCTGGACTGTGGCTTACTATCGGGCTGTGGTGTATTCGGAATTGGGCTGCATGAGTGGCTGGCTAGAGCATGTGTAAGTGCAGCTCAACTTGCATGAGCGGTGGGCCAGCAAGCACTCGTGTGCATGCTTGGTGGCCCACCACTGGTGCAAGGGCTGTGTCTGGTTGTGCAGCCCAGTTTCACTCCCCAAGGCTGTCAAGCTGCAACGGTTATTAAACTTAACATTAAAAATTAAATTCTGAGTTAAAACCAAATATATTAACAAAGAAATCAAATCATAATCAAGATAAAATGGCAATTTTTAAAATTTATTTATTCCCTTAGCACAGTAGGGGCCATGTTCCAAAGATTTAACGTGGCTACAGAAAAGGGAACATTTTTCTATTCTTAAGCAATCGAATTCTTAAAAATGAGTAACGACAGCCCTACCTCTTATCTCCCATTACTAGACAACTGATTGCTTCTATAAATGTGGTTTTCTTTAGACCCATTTTCTCTTTAGATTTGCAACTGCATGTGGACAGGCAATTTTTATTACATAAATGGATTTAAAGCAGAATATTCCAGTAACTGATCCTTATTTCATGGTTCTTCCAGACAATCACAGAAAGAGGAGAAGGATATATTTTAATGATAGCTTTAAGTAATTGCCTATGATTACTGCAGTGATTCCAGTTCTATACTCTTGTTTCCCTGAAAAAAGAACAAATTCTATCCTATCTTGTTTTAGAAACAAAATATTACCTGTGTGCAGGGAGAGATGTCGGGACAACGTCTGTTGTCGGCCAAACACTTTTCCACATACATCACAAGGAAAGAGCTGGTCATTAAATTTCCAAGACGACAACCCATTTCCAGTTTCTAGTCCTATATTGTCCGTTTCTGTTCCCCCCAAAAAGAAAAAAAATGTCATTCTATTATTAGTAAGCCAAAGGCATTCTCAATTTTGTCTACTGTGTCTTGCTGGATATCCCATTGGCCACAAAAGGAAACTGTCCCACTCTCAGTGAATATGAATCAGACTTTGCAAAACTATCAATCCTATTAAGAGTTTGTAAATAAGATTTCAGTATTAAACAAATCATATTAATCTGAATCCCTAGGCCAGGGCTGTTAAACTCCCGGCCCATGGGCTGGATGCATCACGTGCTGGCCACACCAATGCCCGGTTTAGCAAAGGGGGGGTGGAAAGTCCTGATATGTCACGTGATGCTGCCATGATGACGAGGGTTTGACACCCCTGCTCTAGACAGAACAGGAACTTCCCCAAGCTATAATTTTAAAAGAAAGGTAAAAATACAATTAAATGTCACAAGTGTTTGGATAGCAGGCAGATTCGAGCTTTCTGCTCTATCTTTTGTTTACACAAACAATAATCTCTCTCACTGACCATTTCCAAGTAGCTGGTACATAAGCTTGGAATTTACTTTTATTTATTAATTTAATTAATGAATGAATTTAATACTAAAGCTTATTTCTAGAGAATATCAAATTCAAGTTTCAACAAAACTGGTTTTGTTGCATTTTAATATTTTCAGTTATTTTCTTCCTTTTGACTATTTTATAGTTCCCCAAGAGAGTTGGTAAGAAGGAATAGAAAGGAGGACAAATTTAAATTTATGTGAATCCCTATCCACTCTGAACTACAGAGAGGAAATTAGCTCAAACACCCTAAGTAATCCTTATTATTTGCCTAAGTAGTGCTGGTCTAAGTAGTATGCCAATTTCATACAGACCAATCCAGAACTAAATCCAAATCTGAGCATTCCTTCACTCCACTTCCAATAAAAAGTGCATATGAGCCATCCATATGAGTATGTGTGTAACCATTGGTTAAAATTGCCTAAATAATTAAAATCACTTTTAAAAGTAATTCCTCTATCTGAATATTATCAGCCTCAAACACACACCATTCTCACTTGCAGAAACACACAAGTACACTTAAAAACGTAAATGCATTTCAAAGGGGCAAAAAATAAGGAAAAAACAAAGGATAGAGATTGGCTAAGGGGGAAGGATTAGATATACAGAATTAGAGGGAGAATGGATGGAAAAAAGGAATGGAAAGGGAAGCCCAGTTTAGGCCTTATAAACAGGTTTAAATTTCAGAAGGCAAGCATTCCTTCTCATATGATGACTTTCAGCAACAAGGTCTGCAGTTATCTCTTCTTGCTACCTTTTGTTTTGTCTGCTATACTCTGCTAATGTAAGAGTGAGGAGTCCTTGATGCTCTCTAAGCTTGATTGTTTTGTTGCAGCTGTTTCATTAGCCAAACTAGGTAACATCACAAGGGCTGTAAGTGGCAAAGCACTAGAATATAAACTGAGAGCAAACCCACGCCTTAGTAGCACTGGTGATGTTACCTACTTTAAGTAACGAAAACAACCAAACTCAGAGAGCACTAACGATTTTAGTGCTGAAATACAAATGTGCTCCTTTATTAATATTATAACTGTCTTGTATTTCCTGCCCCTCTCTAATTTCAAGATGATTATTTGAGGGGTGGAAGTGGGATTAGGATTTCTTTTCTTGAGCAGCACTGAATTCCTCTGGGACAGACTGTTTTGGGATAACAGGTGCATGAATGCATAAGCAGTTTGGGCAGGTAATATAAGTTGTGTCTGAAGGATAAATTATATGTTCTCAAGTCTTATATAATTCAGAGAAAATATATATGTATATATGAAACTGTATAAAAGTGTCTTGAGCAGAATTTTTGTTGCTGTTCCCTGTTTCAACAACAACCAAATCATTTCCTGAAGCGCTTGCCTTCACAACATCAAGGCCTACACAGTTCCAAATATAGAAAAATAATGCCTTTCCACAATAGTAATTTGCATGTTTTACCCCAATGTTGATAGGAAAAGCACTAGAAGAATTTTGCATATCCAAATAGTATCAGGCTCAGTTTCTTACAATCCCTTTTTGTTTTCTCTATTTAATTTCTTACTGCTATCAAGACATATTTGACATCCCAAAAAAAGCTCTCATTTCAGTTTTTGAGAAAAAAAGGTTTATTATTTCTGCAGTTCAGCCTACATGTATATTCTTGCTCTAGAGATCTTAATGGTTCTCAATGGCTCCCTCTTAATAATCAATATAGTTCCCAATAACTCACATAATGCTTGCCAATGGCAAGCTTCTTTCTATTTTGGCTTCTTTCTGAGGCAAGCACTGAGTCCTGAACTGAAATGATTCTTTTATGCCAGTTTGTCCAATGCCCTGGTCAATGAAGTATTCAAAATTAAATGTATAGTATGTACAATTTAAATATTTAATGTAAGGCAGCTATTTTTCTTAGTGAAAAAGAGGTTTAATTAGATATCAGCCTGCCTAAATTATGACAAGTGGAATTATTTCTTCACCAGTCAAGGTGTTTCATGAAAATGTTTTAGTAGACAATGTAAGGCTATTTCAGCTATAAAGCTGGCTGGACTTGAACATAAACTGTTATTACATTTAAATACTATTTTTTGTTTGATTCACAATTATCAATGTTCTATGTTAAAAGGTGTGAATATTATACAAGTTTGATAGTTTTGTTAGCCTAGTAAAAAGATTAATTCATCAAATATTAATTCATTGAAGCATTATTTTTCAAGGACTTGTTTATCATCCTTTTCTCCTGTCCTTATACAATTTTTGAGTTTATAATCAGCTAATAATTAAGTTGTTTCAAATGGTCAAGTGTAAAAGTTAATACTGCATATAAATTCATACTATTGATGTAGGTTCATCTTACTAATATGTACTCATAGCTAATGCTATCTTCCTTGGTAAGAAACAAATCTTCCTGTTAAACTAGGAAGTAAATATAATGATCAAAATAGTATATGAACTTACTGAATTCCAGCTTTTTGCATCCTTTTTACTTTAATTCTTTTCTTTTTAATGGAGAAAATAAGATAATTCAAAATTGGAAGCTTTTTTGTCCCCATATATTTTGTGACTAGTGGAGAAATAATATTAAAAGGACTGGAAGTTAAGTCATGGCAACTGGACTTATTTTCTTGTTGGTTTGAAACATTAAGAAACTTTTCAGATTGAGGAAGTTGGTTTGGGGAATCTGAGTAGCAGACAGGTCGTTGGAATGTACCAACTCCCAAAATACGTAGGGGTCATTAAGTGTAGCCTTGCTGGTGAACCTGTGAAGTGGTTTTAATTTTACTGGGGACTGATGAGAGAGCAGCATAAGAAATGCCTAATCAGATTCCTCCTAACCAACTTGCACAGTTTGAAGAAACTACTTGGATAAGCAGCAAAACATTTCAACAATTTGCCATGACTCAGCTTCCAGACAACTCTGCCTGGATAGCTGACAATCTTCACTGACAACATTGAAAGGTGGTAGCTGAATAGCATTTTGGATAGAAAAATAGTGTTTTTATGAAATGTGTATTTGTGAAAAACACATTGAAAAAAGTAAGTTGGAATTCTTTGCAAACAAATAAGAAGAGAGAGTTCTAAAAAGAATTAACCTTAGTAGAGGTATTGTATGTCCTAGGCCAGAAGTGGGGAATGATGGCCCCTTTATGACTTGTGAACTTCAACTCCAAGAATTCCCAAGCCGCATGGCTCAGGAACTCTGGGAGTTGAAGTCCACAAGAGAAGAACCATGGTTCCCCACCCATCCTAGGCCTATATCACCAGTCACATTTAAAGCCAAATACACCCAATCAAACATACTGTATGTGTTGCCATTCTGCTTGGTAATTTCTAACTGTGCTACTATTTTACTAAGACTAACAAAATGATCAAGTATCTAGTGCACTACAATAACATATATTACTGTACAGGAAGTGGATAGACATATTATAAATACTTCAGCTAAGTATGATCAGATATATATGTCCATATATCTTCCCTATATTATAATAATGAGACCACAAACAACAATTGTTATCCATATGAAACCAAGTTCCCTCTCATCATTCTGTTTCACTTGCATGCATGCATGCATGTCTGACCTATTGGGAAGCGCTCTTTTTTGTATAAAACCACAGCAATCTGGATAGATTACCAGTCAAAGAAAATACTGTATAAACGAATTACTGTGATTAATTCAAGCAAGACCTGAAAGCTAGCTTAACTGAGCAACAAACAGCTACTCAGTCATTATCACAGGCTACTTATTATAAGCCCCATCTCTCAGAAAAGCCATGGTTCATACAGCACTTGAAACAACAAAAGCTTGCCACTTGACGGGTATCCTCTGGGTGCTACTATTATCTGCTATTTGTCTTACAATAATACAAATTATCTTTAATGTGTGATTAATCATGCATCTTCCAAATTAGCCCTTCTGCAAAGTTTAAAAGGCAGATGGAAAGAAATAGCTGAAGTATGTATAAAGCATTTAATGTCTCTGAAATCAATTGTGAACCATTCTTTCAATTATTAGTTTTGAGTTCAAGAGGATGGTCATTTGACTTGACAGCAACGACATATGTTTTAGCAGAGCTTTTTGAGTACTTAATCAAATAGGCTTTGGACAGAAAAATATGGTAATGATTATAGGAAAATATCAAGTATAAGACAGTTCCAACAAAAGCCTTATGCTGGTACATATAGATTATGGAATATTCATGGTATAATGCATTGGTGTAATATGTGGAAATTTGCCCATTGAAATATCTAATTAAAATTTGCCTCCTTTCTCAATGGTTGCTTTCCACTGAGTATTGATGGCAGGGAAGAGATTGTGACCATTTGAGATTACTGTGAAATTTGCAGGCCTTCTTGAACTCATAGATACTACTAAAGAGTAGATGCCAGTCATTCCCAATTAGGTACCTTGTAGGCTACAAGAACCATAAAAATCTTTTCTTGTTTGGGAGGGAATAATGGGAATTGTATTTAAAAAATCTGGAAGTTACCAGCCC